CAGCTGGCGTGCATTAGACGTGTGACGTCGTTTGTTTACTCTTGAACATTGGCAAAAATTTAACATTTCCACTACTTTGAGCTCAATTTCAAGCCATTTCCAGTGCTAAAACCAATCAAAATCATCTCTATTTCTGTAATATGTCTTCCGTTCTATCAAATGAGACCAAGAAATCGCAAATACAACTATAAAAAACATACGAAAAAACACTGCAAAGTTGCTGTTTTAATAAAAATTCACGGTCTCAGTTTTTTCTCTCATTATACACTGTGTGCTGCAGGATTTGTTTTATGTGATGCACACATACCACATAGATGTATTCTCTCATATCTAGGCCCAAATTTAGCACTCACAACTTATCAGAGTGAGCTGAGCTCATGGCGTAGATCTACGGTTTGGACCCTGAACGTAAAGCCGATCTACGGCACGGACCCTGAAAGGATTAAAACTACAAATAATTTAAGGTAAGTAATGAATGTAATCTTATGTATTTTACTTTTTATTGTGCTTTTTAACCCATTAACTGCCCAAACGTAGATCTACGATTTCGCTCATAGAGCTCCGATCTTGATTTTCTCCATAAGAAAGCATATAAAAAAACGTAGATCTATGTTCGGAGCGCTATGTGAGCGAACATAGATCTACATTTGGACAGTTAATGGGTTAATGCCTAGTTCTATTACTAACTTAATATAAGTTAGTGAAAACTTGTTGACTGGCATTTATATGCATTTATAAGTGGAAAAAAATGGCGTTCTGCTCTCCGGCGATGTCTACTTTCCAGTAGTAGCCTGGAACCTAACCTGCTGTATATGTGGGAAATTACTGTACATAATAAACAATATTAGATAATGGTAAGGAACTTTTCATTCCATTAATGGATTTAGAAAAGGCACACAATAGGGTGGATAGAGAAGCAATGTGGCAGAAGTTGCAAATGTATGGAACAGGTGGTAGGTTACTTGAAGCAGTTAAGAGCTCTAATTTGGATAGCAAGGCACAGGTTAGGGTATACCTGAAGTACACCTGGAGAGGGTTTTGGGGGTCAACACCCCTGCGGCATGGTCAGTGATCAGGACTCGTGGTGGGTCAGTGCCTGCTCAACCAGGTTGTTACTGCTGGCCACACACAAACTGACTAGTCCCTCTAGGATTTTTCAAGTGTATATTATCAGGTATTTCTCTTGCTGCATTCCAGGGAATACAAATCAAGGGACTTCAACCATTCCCAATAATTTAGGTGCTTTATCATATTTATATGTGCCATGAAAGTTCTCTGTACATTCTCCAAGTCAGCAATTTCATGTGCCTTGAAAGGTGCTGTTAGTGTACATCAATATTCCAGCCTAGAGTGAACAAGCAATTTGAAGAGAATCATCATGGGCTTGGCACACCTAGTTTTGAAGGTTCTCATTATCCATCCTATCATTTTCTTAGCACATATGGTAGATACATTATTGTGATCTTTGAAAGTGAAATCCTCTGACATTATCACTCCCAGATCCTCCACATTAGTTTTTTGCTCTATTGCGTGGTTGGAATTTGTCTTATACTCTGATACAAGAGTAAGAGAGAAGGCAATTACTTTCCAGTAAGAATAGACCATAGACAGGGATGTGTGATGTCACCATGGTTGTTTAACATATTATAGATGGGGCTGTAAAGCAGTGAACTCTAGGGTGTTAAGGAGAGGTGTGGGATTGGAAGATGGTGTATCTGTTACGGATATGGAATTGTCATGATTGCTTTTTGCTGAACACGCTTATTTTTTGGAGATTCAGAGAAGTTGCAAAAATTGGCAAATGAAATTGGGAGGGCATGTAAATGAAGTTAATTAAACATATACCTGGGAAACAGCAAGGTGATGAGACTATCAAAAAATATAGGCAATGAGATTAAATTAGACTGGTGGGAGGGAGCATGAAGAAAGTAAATGTATTCAGATATTTGGGAGTGGACTTGTTGGTGGATGTTCTATGACAGCTGAGGTGAATTAATGAAGGTAAACAGGTGGGTGATGAATTGAGGCATCTATGGAGACAAAGAACTTTGTCCAAAGAAAAATGTACCAGGAGTATAGTGGTACCAACACTTGTATGGGTGTGAAGCATGGGTTTTGCATGTTGCAGTGAGAAGAAAGCCAGTGGCAGGAGATGTGTTTGAAGGCAATGCAAGGTGTAAATATTATGCGGAAAATTCAGAGTGTAGAGATTAGGAGGGGTGCCGTTACCAAAAGTATTATTCAGAGAGCTGAGGAGTTCTTGAGGTGGTCTGAACATTGAGAGAGAATGGAGAAAAATAGGGTGACCAGGAGGGTAGATGGTAGGAAAGGAAGAGGTTGTCTAGGAAAGACTGGAGGGAGGAGGTAAAAGAGGTTCTAATTGTTAGGGACCTGGATTTGTAACAGGCTTGTGTGTTAGGGGTTAGGAGTGAATAGAGACAAGCGATTTTCATGATTTGATGTGCTGCTGGAGTGTGAGCAGGGTGACATTTACTAAGGGATTCAGGAAACCAGACTTAGGTGGGAAGTAGTGCCTGAACTCTGAAGGAGAGCTATGGTTTGAAGGGTCATCTGAACTGTGATGATGGCATCCCTCTGGCAACTCGTGATTGAATGACTGACAGTGCAAGTGTTTATTCTTTGCCAGGTCATTCTACCTCAGTGGGAGACAGCAGGAGTGTTAAAAAAAGGTAGTTTATCATTAACATAAAGCAAAAAATTACTACAAATACAGACTAATACTTGTTCACAGACTAGCTTTTTGCATAATTTTTTTTAAAAGCAGCATGTTCATCTCATTTGTGGACAAGTGTATACAGTACAGTGGTCTCTTGAGTTATGAAAGTCTTGAATTATGATAATTTTGAGTTACAATTTGCCCTCATAAAGGAATTTAGTTTTGAGTTGTGCTGAAAAATCAGAGATACGATATACATTTGGCCCCTAAAGTGTACTAGTAAATAGGCAATTTCTCTGAATATCAAACAAGAAATTGTGAAAAAAATGTGATGTAGTAGCTTGTGATTAGTGCATTGGTGCATGAGTATGGTTTTCCACAATCAACATCTCTACTATTATCAAGCAAAAAGACACTATTAAAGTGGGTGACAAATCTTAGCTAGCAAAAAAAGGCAGAAAAATTATAGATGGAAAGATTGTTGTTATTTGGATAAGAGAGAAGCAGATGAAGGGAGATTAAGTGCGTGTAAATTATATCTGTGAACGAGATAGTCCAAGGTACATTAAAATTTGCACTTCTGGCATCTTGAAATGATTTACCATAAAACCATGTATGTATTTTGGGGTTTGAGTTTCAGTAGTTCTAAGGTAGGAAACATTTTCTGGAGTGGATTAATATCATAACTCAAGGGACCATTCTACATCTTTTAACTTTCTGATTCTTGAACTGTGCTTCAGTCTGAAAAATGCCCAAGAGCAAATATGCAGCATGTGATAGATCTTTAATTCAAGTTCCATATGCTTCATTGAGAATTCCAAGGATATACTGTATATTCACATACAGTATATTTCTTAGAAATACACCACCGGTTTTCCGGCAAATGTGGTTCCACAGCCTTGCCAACAGAGGTCACCTAATAAAAATTCAACAATACACCTCTGACCCACTACATATATATCTCCTATGTCTCTGAAACACCATTATACTGTAGTACCACCATTCCCTAAGTTGCAAATTTTTTAATTATACTGGAACTACAGTGCTAGCTTTCTAAACATTTCATCCAAGCAAAGCTGTTTCATGTACTCTGAGCTTTCCCTATGTAATTTTTCAGGCTTCAAATAAAAATTTATTATCTCTTATTTCGTGCTTCAAATAAAGATTTATCAGCTTTTGTTCCAACACAAAGGTACACTGTTCTAGTCCTTATCAATAGTAAGTTTTTCAGCTACAGTACTGGCACATGCATCTTGTTCAGAAGCCACAATCAGGGTTAAATGTAAGCAAAATAAGCTAAGAATTACACAAAATCAAGTGATCACTACCAAGAACTGAAGTATAAGCACTAAGTGAATAAGCACTAACACAATACCATCTTTGACCGCCCAGTAAACTAGTATGGTGATCACAGGAATTTCAAGTGCCCTCGTAATTTTGTCCAGAATAAAAAAGGTGTCGAGTCATCAATTCTCAGAAAATCAGTGGTGTACCTGTGCTTCAATTTTTCTATTACAATGGCAATTTCCCATCAGAGTAAGATGACTAAAAAAAGAAAACTCAACATTTACTATCATTCATCCAATAGCTATCTTGCAAGAAGTGTGCAGACATAAAAACTGAAATGACTCTCTTAACTATAACACCCTCACCCCTCTTTCAGAGTGCAGGAACTGTACTTCCCAACTTCTGGACTCAAGACTTGGAGTCCCTGCATATACATTACAATGTTCAAAGTTCACCAGCAAGTCACATCCTTAAAACCACTTTTCTTCACTCACTTCAATCTAACATGCTTGCACATTCCCACTGGATGCTAAAGCCCCTTTCACTTCATTCAGACCCTCTACACCTTTCTGGGATGACCCCTATCCCTCTTTCCTTCCAATCTGCATTTATACACAATCTCGGTCATCCAACTATGCTCCATCCTCTCTCAATGCCCAAATTATCTTAATCTTTGTTTCATTATAAAACATACCAGGTGCTGCAGTTTGGAAGGACATTTCAACCGTATGTCTGTGCGCTTTCTCTAATCTGCTTAATACTGGCATTCATATAAAAGCATGAAGACAATGAAAACAGATTTGAGCATGGCAAATCCATCGAATGCATTTTGAACATAAAAAGAGGAATGACCAAAATGGTTAGAAATTATTATATGCTTTTCCACCAACCTATTACAGAATGCTTTCACCAAGTATTGAGCTAATGCTTTAAGTGCAGTACATCGTCCTAAGGGTATCAACAGATTTTTTTTACACACCATTATTTATCTCAAATTTTCTTAATTGTCGTAATTTTGTATTTAGGCAATACTAACCTGGTTGTACATGGCTCGAATATTTGGAGGCATATTAAAGTAGGGGTTAGGAGGACGAGGGGTCTCCATGAAAGTGTAAATGGCAGCTTCACCTCGCTTCATTGCAAGAGCATTAAGTTCTACTGTGGGGGTCAGTTTAGCTGCAACAAAACAAATATGTACTATTATACGATGCCAGAGTAGTAGATAATCAAAACTCATTCATCAGGATAAAATTTAACATTTCATCATGATTACAATGATCACTGTCTGAAAAGTATTTTTGCTTTTATCAGTTTTCAATTTTCCATTCCTTACTAAAAGACACACCATTATAAATGTATTATAATCCAAAGTCAGTAGATTTCCCTCTTTACAATTATTTATGCTATTATGTTTTAAACCTTGCATCAGTTCTTTCTTTGTACTGTCTTCCTTTCCCCACAGCAGCTTCCCTTATCAAAACAAGAGCCACCAAGCTTCTACACTGAAATCCAATGAACCAAAATGACCTGGAAAATCAGGAACTTTCTGAAGACTTTTTTTTTTTTTTTTACATCTCTAATATCTCTGAGATCTCTACATCTCCTCAAAGGTTTCTTTTTGTGGAAAATATGATGAAAAATACCAAAAAAGGCTTCCCAAGTGGACACAAAATAGATAAATAGGTAGACATACTTACTCTGTTTATTCTGCCTTTGTGTTTTTGGTGGAGGATGTTTAAACTGTGTTTTTTCAAGAGCTATGGCAGCAGCTGAGTGTTGAGCTTTCTTGATACTAGGACCTGAGGCAGTGTACTCTTCACTCTCTCCAAGCCTTAAGGTTACTGTAAAAGTCTTTTTATGAGCTGGACCTTTTTCATCTGTCAGGCAGTACTGGTGCTGAATCTGCCAAAAGAAACAATTTGATATGTATATCTAACTTGACGTGCTGTTGGAGTGTGAGCAGGGTAACACTTATGAAAGGATTCAGGAAAACCAATGCTGGACTCGTCCTGGAGGTGGTGGTATTATTAGCTTATTTATTGGGGAACAAAACTGGTTCACGCAGGTGTTAATCATATGATGCAAGTACAGTAAAGTGCCTGCACTATGAAAGATGAGTGAGTATGTTGTAGCTCGGATAATATTATAATAAAAAAGAAGCGCTGAACTGCAAGGGTTATACAGTGTTGTAGCTCAGAGGGTCACTTGAATTGTGATGTCTGCATACTTTTGGCAAGAGAGCTACTGAATGAATAATGGTGAATGCTTATTTTTTGTATTTCAGGTATGTCTTGCTACCTCTACTTACATTTAGGTCACACTACACATGAATGTACAAGCATATATATATACATACCCCTTTGGGTTTTCTTATATCTTCTTACTAGATCTTGCTCTTGCTTATTTCTGCTTATCTCCATGGGGAAGTGGAACAGAATTTTTCGTCCGTAAGCCATGCGTGTCGTAAGAGGCGACAAAAAAAGGGAGTATTCTGGGCCATGCTGCCTAAGTGGGATAAGGCAGGTTTGTTGAAAGTTTACTTCATTTGAGTCACCCGGCTTTGGTGGGAGACAGCTGGTGTATCACTTGAATATCTGATTGCAAATTGTAATTTTGGCTTCACTGAAATATACAGAGCAGCCAGCCACATTGTTTTCTCAGTTATAGTTAGGTAATAACTGAATCCCCTATTATTATTATTATAATCAAAAAGAAGCGCTAAGCCACAAGGGCTATACAGCACTGAATCCCCTAATGCAGTCTAAAACATGCCTCCCAGGAGTATGCTAAAGCCACAACTAGGGACAGTGAAATTTTAAAGAAAAATTAAAAGCCTTCCTCAAAGGCAAAATTCTTACGATTCCACAAGACATTTTAGTATATAGGTACTGTGCAGTAATTATCTGCAGCTGAAAAAGTCATTAACCCTTAAATTATTTATTACAGTCATCTATGGATGTATGATGAATTGCTCATTATATTGATCTATGAATTATTTTTATACTGCATATTTTGAATGCAGTGTGCTGTATTTTGTTTTCGATATGTGTATTTAGTCTGAAGCACTAAAATTAAGCACATTAAAACAATTTAGGAGCTCAGCATGCTTTGCCAGGCCAATGCACTCAGTTTGTTTCATTACCATGTAGCAGACAAAGCTTTGGGCAAAAAGGAAATAACACCATGTCAGACATTGAAGATAGAAAAGAAGCTGACGAGTTCTCCAGGTCACACAAAATCTATAAAAATTTTACTTTTCTTCTCTACTTTCTAAAAACTTAAATACTCACAAAATCTTTGTGTGTCAGTCATATCTCCTTAGCAATAGAGATTTTGTTTGTTATTGCCTAATTGTTAAATGTTAAACAATTTTGTTGTAAAGACCTATATAACATTTACACCATTGGATAACAATAATATCGATAATTTTGTATGGCTCTTCTCTTTATAGAAAGTCTACTTAACTGGCTTGAATTTTGTCATTTTTAGTGCTGTACAATTTTTTTGCTCACATATCAAACTTACATGGTAAACTTACCCTTTAAATTTATGTTGCAGAATTTCTGTTTCAATTTTATTTAGAATTTTGCCATTCATCATGAATTTTAATTTGCTTTTTAAAAAGGAATCTGCCCATTAACTTTTCGTCTGCACCTAGTCTTGCCTTTATAATTTTGTATTTGGCTTGTAAATGTATCTCAGAGTAGCTTGTATTCCTTTTCACACATTTGGAAGCAGAGGTAGCATATTGTATCCATGAATCATTTTCATATTATATATGGAAAAACCATTTGATAAAATACTGAGGCCCCCCCAACATTTTTTCAAGACGAAAAACATTTTAGTAAATGAGATGAATCCAGTTTGCATTAACTTTTTTATAGCAGTTCATCTGATTACACTTTGGACACTAAATACATAATCAAGACTTTGAATATTATACTTTAAGAGTCCCATGAGGTATTCTATCCTAACAAAGAGAATCTTAATAGAAAGAATATATATGAAAATAGGAATACAGTAATCTATCTTTATACTGTCTCCTGCATATATACAATAAATTACAATGGGATTTCAGAAACTACATATAGAGTGGACACCTGGATTTTGTAGTTGTCGGATTTCGTAATATTTGGAAATACATAGTAATGTTTTTTCGTCAAAATGGCTTGGTGATCGTCATTTAGCTCGGTAATAGTCATTCGTCCCGAACGCATCCGAGCAGCCCAACACACCATTTACAATCAGTGTGTCATTGTTTATCAGCCAATGAGCACAATCCCATGCATTCATACATTTTGTAATATTCCATTCGTTTTAGTGCTTGCAACTGCTAAATAAGCCACCATGGACCAAAAGAAAGCTCCTAGTGCCAGCCCTTTGGTCAAGAAGGCAATAAACATGATAGAATTCAAGAAAGAACACACCAGCCAGGGTACTTCCCCACACACCAGCCAGGGTACTTCCCCACACACCAGACAGGGTACTTCCCCAAACACACGATTTGATTTGAGTGGGACTTGCGCATGAGTGAACAGAATTTTTTTTTTTTTTTTTTTCAACAAGTCGGCCGTCTCCCACCGAGGCAGGGTGACCCAAAAAAGAAAGAAAATCCCCAAAAAGAAAATACTATCATCATCATTCAGCACTTTCACACATTATCACTGTTTTTGCAGAGGTGCTCAGAATACAACAGTTTAGAAGCATATACGTATAAAGATACACAACATATCCCTCCAAACTGCCAATATGCTTATTGCTTGGGAAACATTGAAAATTGGGTTGGGCAAATACGATTCTGTTAGTGGGATGGTTTGTGAAGGACCTGCCTAGTATGGGCCAACAGGTCTGCTGCAGTGTTCCTGCTTTCTTATGTATACCAGCCAGGGTACTTGCCCACACACCACCCAGGGTACTTCCCCACACACCAGCCTGGGTACTTCCCCACACACACAATTTGATTTGAATGGATGGGACTTGAGCAGGAGTGAATAGAATTTTCAGTGCTTGGGAAGCATTGAAAACTGAGTTGGGCAAATACAATTCTGTTAGTGGGATGGTTTGTGAAGGACCTGCCTAGTATGGGCCAACAGGCCTACTGCAGTGTTCCTGTTTTCTTATGTTCTTATGTTCTTATGGGCACTTGGAATTTATTATTCCAGTGGTACCTTGACTTACGAGTTTAATTCGTTCCGTGACTGAGCCCGTAACTCAATTTCCTCGTACAGTGGACCCCCGCATACCGTACGCATCACATAACGTTCAATCCGCATACCGCTCGCTTTCATCGCAAAAATTTTGCCTCGCATACCGCTCAAAAACCCGCTCACCGCTCTTCGTCCGAGACGTGTCCAATGTGCGCCCTTAGCCAGCCTCACATGTGCCGCCGGTGGCATTGTTTACCAGCCAGCCTCCGCGGTAACATCCAAGCATACAATCGGAACATTTCGTATTATTACAGTGTTTTTGGTGATTTTATCTGCAAAATAAGTGACCATGGGCCCCAAGAAAGCTTCTAGTGCCAACCCTACAGCAATAAGGGTGAGAATTACTATAGAGATGAAGAAAAAGATCATTGATAAGTATGAAAATGGAGTGCGTGTCTCCGAGCTGGCCAGGTTGTATAATAAACCCCAATCAACCATTGCTACTATTGGTGGTACAGCTGCTGCTGCTGCTGTACCACCATCAGCTGCTGCTGCTGCTGTTGCTGCACTGTCAGCTGCTGCTGCTGCTGCTGCACTGTCAGCTGCTGCTGCTGCTGCACTGTCAGCTGCTGCTGCTGCTGTACCACCGTCAGCTGCTGCTGTAGTACCGTCTGCTGCTGCTGTAGCATCGTCTGCTGCTGCTGTAGCACTGTCAGCTGCTGCTGCTGCTGTAGCACTGTCAGCTGCTGCTGCTGCTGCTGTAGCACTGTCAGCTGCTGCTGCTGCTGCTGTAGCACCGTTGTTGGTGTGGCTTATTGAGAATACCAAGAAACAATTAACCCCAGAGGATTTGCCACCCAGGATAACCCAAAAAAGTCAGTGTCATCGAAGACTGTCTAACTTATTTCCATTGGGGTCCTTAATCTTGTCTCCCAGGATGCAACCCACACCAGTCGACTAACACCCAGGTGAACAGGGAAAAATGCCTGGAACTAGTGCTCATATTGGTGAATTTAAAGCCAGCAAAGGTTGGTTTGAGAGATTTAAGAATCGTAGTGGCATACACAGTGTGATAAGGCCTGTTCTGGAAGAAAATGCCAAATAGGACCTACAGTACTCAGGAGGAAAAGGCACTCCCAGGACACAGTGTCTCATCAGTCATTGCTGCATCTTCAATAAAGGTAAGTGTCATTTATTCTTCATTTAGTAGAGTAGTACATGCACAATATATATTGTGCATGTACTACTCTACTATTGTGCATGTATCCTTCTCTTTGTGTGTAGGAAAATGTATATTTCATGTGGTAAAAAATTTTTTTTCACACTTTTGGGTGTCTTGCACGGATTAATTTGATTTCCATTATTTCTTATGGGGAAAATTCATTCGCATACCGATCATTTTGCATAACAATGAGCCCTCTTGCACGGATTAAAGTCGCTATGCGGGGGTCCACTGTATATCAAACCAATTTTCCTTATTGAAATCAACTGAAATGCCATTAATCCAGCCCCAAAAAAAGCACCCCAGAGGCAGGAGAAAATACTTCAATATAATGCTAATATCAACTCTACGGCTTATTTATCTATCAGAATTGATCTAATATGACATAATAAACACTAAGTAACATAGAAACATGATATATACATGTACTTTAGAATGAATAAAATAGGCCATAACATGGCGAGTGTCCAGGACCAGTCCAAGCATATAAAATTATTACTGCTCCTTCCTATAACGTGCTCTTTGATACTGGG